CTTTTTTCTTTTCTTAATGCCTCTTTTGCCCCTCCCACCTCATTTTTTAAAATTTGTGTGTTGAATTCACTTTGAAAATGTTAATTCCTTGTATCTTAAGGTAAATTACATTTTACGTAAAATAGAACAAATATCAAGTTTTTTTTAAAAATTTTTTTACTTAAAAATTGATATAAGAAAAAATAAAAATTGTATATTTAAAATGTACGATTTTTTTACAAAATACGTGCTGATAAAATAGCTAATTTAATCAAATAATTGATGAAAACAAGCAAAATAAATAAAAATTTCTGTCATTTTGGAAATAATGAAGAGTAAATCACTATAGATAGAAGTAAAACATATAAAAATTACGAAAATAGAAATTTTATGTTTATCTCAAAATATGAGTTTTTATTGTATTGATGTTGACAGTGTATATAAACATTTAACAATACATTTTGACTTTATATAATAATATGATTGGGTTTTATTTGCATTGAAACTCCTCTTTTCGAAAATAAAAATATGAAATTCATGTTTCAATATATTTTTTATATATTACCTCTAATTTAATCTTTTTCGAGCTGTTAGATAACTTTTTTAAAAAGTTAAAACTAAAAATCAAACTATTTTTGGAACACATTCTAATCTGGGTCTCATTCTCACATGTGAAAAAAAAAAGCATTTTAGCACAAAGAGCGCGGCAGACCCTTGATGGTAATTTCGCATCATTCCAAATTTGACAATTTCTCGAATTTTCAAACGGTCAAAAGGGAAAGAAAGGGCAATGCTAGGGGTACACCAACATGGGGTACCCCAAGTGTACACCAAGCCAACACAGACACACACAGACACAAAATGTCTGTGTGCATCTGTGTTGGCTTGGTGTACACTTAGGGTACCCCATGTTGGTGTACCCCTAGCTTAATTCGGAAAGAAATTGAAGAAAAAAAGCTAACAATTCTGGAATCCGTCATTTCGCGAGCTGTTCGAGGGCAAATCCGTCATTTGGATCTCACTATATATCTAGCCAAAAACAGTTCATTTCCCAGTTCCCCACACTCGCTCCTCTCTGCCTATTCCGTGCCCGCTCGCACCATAAACCCAATCGGCGCCGTCCTTGTTCCCGGTTTCGTCTCCGGTCGCCGCCGCCGGTCATCAGGGAGCCTTCGAGAAGCTTTATATTCAGGGGTAAAAGTTTCCGGGAGTCATTATATTCGCGACTGTTATATATTCCGAGGAGCACTGCTCGCTTGCTCGGAAAATTGACCGCGCCGGAGTTTATTTCTCTGCTCCGGTGGCGGCGGAGGTGTTGGTTCAGTCGTCGATTGCTGCTCTGAAAAGGAGGGAGTTTGTAATAGGAGCGGTATTTTGACGGGAACGGCGTCGTATTGGGGTTGTTTGACCGATTTGACCTCGGAGCTGGGAGAGAAAGAGGGAAAAGGCCGGGAACAGGGAGAGTGTACAGGGGATAAGGTGTAGGAGGGAAAGTGAGCGGTGTGGTGGTGTATGGGGAGGTTATTGGTGGGGTTGGCGGCCGGATTTGCCTCCGTTGCTTGCTGTACGGCGGCAGTCATGGTGGGCAGGCGGGTGAGGCGGTGGATGAAGTGGAGGAAGGTGTTGCAGCTGCTGGAGGAGCTGGAGGAGGGGTGCGCCACCCCTGTCGGGCGGCTGAGACAGGTTGTGGATGCCATGGCTGTTGAGATGCACGCCGGACTAGCCTCTGAAGGCGGTAGCAAGCTCAAGATGCTGCTCACACATGTTGATAATCTTCCAAATGGGTATATCTACACACATTTGCACCTAAATAAAAGCACATTTCACTCGTTTCGCCGTTTCCTCATCTTGACCTATATTGAGAGAGATGTGCCTTTAATGTACTAAGCTAGAATCATCCTAGAGAGGATAATGAGTTTGTGTGAAAATATTGCAGTTTTTTCCCATCTTGTTTTCATCCAGATTAGCAAGCTATTCTAGTCTCTTTGGGTGGTCTATGTGATCCCTACCTGAATTGATCCAGATTTAGTCAATATGAACCCTATATTTTCCAATTCACCTTTTCTGTATGCAATGTCTACCATTGATTTAAGGGCTTGCTTTGTTTGGGCTTTTGGATGGGAGGAGATGCCAGGATTTGTTTTTTTGCTTTACTAATTTTTCTCCATCTTTCTTAGACTAGAAAGTGACTTTTTGTGAGTAGCTACATTATTTATTTCAATCTGATTTTTCGTATTCGCTTCCTTTCCAACCGTCTAAATGTTAAGGATATAACAAAATTAATACTACCCCTTACCGTCTTGTCCCTCCGGAACCCCCAAACCAAACAATGGATTAGGAAATCCTTTTCGATTTTCAATATTGATTCAAACTGAGGTTTATAGCTTACTACGATTAGTTTATACACATGTTGCCCTCTACTGTTCATTTTAGCCTGTTATTCTGTTTGTTCTTTTAACTTAAGGTGAATAGCTATACATGTACATTGCAAGCATCTCTAACACCGAGTGTTTGGATGTTCGATGCTCATCTGCATCTATTAAGTTTCCGAGTATGCCCAACCCATATTTCATAAAATTAGAAGATGGAACAATCAGACGCTTTCATTCCGACATGTCATCTCCTATGACACTATTATAATTATGATCTTAACACTTAATTTGTTTTATAAATCTCATATTATGATCATTACAGGACCGAGAAGGGTACATATTATGCCTTACATCTTGGAGGTACAAATTTTCGGATCTTGCGGGTTCAGTTAGGTGGTCAGAGGTCTACTATTCTCGTAGACCATGTACAACGGCAACCAATTCCTGAAGATTTAATGAATGGAACCACTAAGGTGGCTGATTTTGTTGATTATCACTTGTTAACTTTGATATTAGCATCATGCTGGTGATTCTTATGCACGCGAAGAATTTTATCTCTTTTTTTAACTCTCTTATTTTAAATGGCAGGATCTCTTTGAATTTATTGCATCATCGCTTGAAGGTTTTGTTGAGCAGGAAGGCAGTGGCTCAGAGCATTTGCAAAACAAGAGAGAACTTGGCTTCACATTCTCTTTTCCTCTCAAACAAATTTCTGTCTCATCTGGCATTTTGATGAAGTGGACAAAAGGCTTTACAATCGAAGATATGGTTAGTTGTATTGTAATGAGGTGTACTTTAGGTCTAATTAGTACCGTATACTCCCTCTGTTCCCAAATCAAATTCACACTTTGACTTCGTGGAGTTTTGAAAAGCGAAAAGCGTGTGGTTGAAATGTGTTTAGAAGGGAAATGTTGTGAGTCACCTGTTCTTTTTCCTTAAAATGAAATGAAAGAAATGTGAAGTTTCTTTTGAGACGGACGAAATGAATTTGCAAACTTGATTTGATGATGGATGGAGTATGTTATACTTCGTACTCCGTAATAAATATTTGTATGTATGCATGTGTATGAATGTATTCTGAATGGCGTCTCACTTTCATTGTCATTTCACACTTTTTATCATGCCATCTTATGTTTAGAATGCACCGGTTTTCTCCATGATATTTTATTCACCATTTCTATATGTTCATCTAATACAAGGGCTGTGTACTTTTTGTGTTTTCTTTATAGAAGTTCATCATAGTGTGCTTGTGATTTGATTGCAACTAGTTACTACTTTTAATGTTTTTTTAATTACTAAAAAAATATTATTGCCAGGTTCAAAGAAATGTTTCCGAGTGTCTAGAACAAGCAACTTCTAGAAAAGGCCTGGATATTCAGGTGTCAGCTCTGGTAAGCGTTTTTGCTTTGGAATTTTTTTTAATGACAAAATTCATTCTTACTAAGTATCCCCCCTCCCCCCAAAATCCGAAATGCTTTTATGGGTGAAATCATGCTGTATGGAGTATATTTCAAGGATAGGTTCAATTACCACTGTCACTAAAAGGTTTAAATTTTGACAACCTGTTGGGTCAGACTGGGAGTCTTTTAGTAGGAACTGGTCCTCAGATATCCATGTTTTTTTTGAAATGATCAGATAAATGATACAGTTGGAACACTTGCACTTGGGCACTATGAGGATGAAGACACTGTTGCAGCAGTCATAATTGGCACTGGGACAAATGCATGCTATGTGGAGCGAACAGATGCAATTATAAAATGCCAAGGCTTGTCAACATCCTCTGGAAGCATGGTATATATTCTCTTCGACATCATTTGTATTGTTTTCTGATGAATACTAGCATTCATCAAAGCCGCATTTTACATGTTAGTTTTTTATGTTCCCTGCTTGCTGATTAGGTTGTCAACATAGAATGGGGAAACTTCTGGTCATCTCACTTACCAAGAACACCATATGATATCGAATTGGATCTAAGCAGCCAAAACCCTAGCGATCAGGTAGAAGGTGATACTGGTAATAATTTTTCCAGATTTTAATTTTAGTTCTTCAATTTATTTTATTATTATCATTGTTTTTGTATGCAGGGGTTTGAGAAAATGATATCGGGGATGTATTTAGGGGACATTGTGAGAAGAGTGTTTCTTAGAATGTCACGTGAGTCCGATGTGTTCGGGCCCATTTCTTCTAAACTTGAAACACCATTCGTCCTCGAGTATGTTCTGTCGCCACTGCTTTTTTCACATAGATTATGTTTACCTTTTTACAGCAATGGATGTGACACCACCTTTGTTCATGCTGCCCCCCCCCACCCAAAAAAAAGCTTGTTTCATCATTGTAAAACTTTTTAATTTGGTAAGGTGCAACCCTTGTAAGTTATGGACTCCACCTACAATTGTAACTTTTTTTTTGTACTCAACTAAAAGCTTGTTTCAAACTTTCTTGTTTATTAAATTCAATGATAGTTAGCTTCTTTTGTTGAAATAGGACATTTAACCTTTTGTTGAAGGAGTAGTATTTACTTTGTTATGTCATCTTGAACTTATGTTCCTCTTGTATCCTCAGAACTTCATTAATGGCTGCAATGCATGAGGACGATTCACCCGAGTTAAGTGAANCCCCCCCCCCCCCCCCCAAAAGAAAAAAAGAAAAAAACTTGTCTCATCATTGTACAACTTTTTAATTTGGTAAGGTGCAACCCTTGTAAGTTATGGACTCCACCTACAATTGTAACTTTTCTTTGTATTCAACTAAAAGCTTGTTTCAAACTTTCTTGTTTATTAAATTCAATGATAGTTAGCTTCTTTTGTTGAAATAGGACATTTAATCTTCTATGGATAAAAAAAATGAACAAGTTTTGAGACATGCCCTTCTCTGAGAGGAAGGAGTAGTATTTACTTTGTTATGTCATCTTGAACTTATCTTCCTCTTGTATCCCCAGAACTTCATTAATGGCTGCAATGCATGAGGACGATTCACCCGAGCTAAGTGAAGTTGGAAGAATTCTCAGAGAAATTCTCGAGGTAACCTTCTTTTTTGGTTCGCTATTTAACCTTCTAGTAGATACTTTGATATCTTCCCATGGTTCCCTTAGGGTAAGTTTGGATGGAGTGTTTTACAGGGGTGTTTGGGTGAGAATACTTTGATATATGCTTTATTGGTGTTTTCATTTCACCTCTCAGTTACCAGACGTAAGTCTTCCCGCCCGTAAGATCGCAGTAAAAGTATGTGACGTGGTGACTCGACGAGCTGCACGTTTGGTGGCTGGGGGCATTGTTGGAATATTAAAGAAGGTTGGCCGGGATGGAACGGGTGGCATATATAGCGGGAGACTCAGAAGTGGGAGCCAACCAATTAGGATGAGAAGAACAGTGGTGGCCATTGAAGGAGGTTTGGTCACAAGCTACAGTCTGTTCCGGGAATATCTGGACGAAGCCATGTCGGATATTTTAGGGGACGAAATCTCTTCCTATGTTACCCTTCGGGTAATGGAAGACGGGTCTTGCATCGGGGCTGCCCTTCTCGCCGCTTCTCTTTCGCGCTCCAATGTCAGATAGGATACATCTGCAAATCTTCAATGATGATATATATATGCATGAGATACAAATACAGGGTAGCTCTGTAAATGGTAGAAGTCATTTTCCACCAAAAAAAGAAGTGAAGAAGGTTGTGAATATAGGTGTGGTGTTGATAATTTAAATCAAGGATGAGAATTTGTTGGATTGGTAGCCTTATATATATATATATATATATATAGTTTTTACTTGCTTGTATTCAGTTAATCACAAGCAATGGAAAATGTAAAAAAAAGGAACTTGTGGAATCAAGACTGGTCCTGGTTCAGTGTACTGTAATTTGTTCATTTGTTGAATGAGGCCAGTTCCCAATGTCATGGGATGACCCGGGGTGCTCCGGTGTCCCGTCTGTAAAATTGACGGTTCCTACCCCCGGTAAACCCTCCACCACGCTCCGACCCGAGCATGTCCCCCAACCCTTTCAATTGCACTCTCCAAGTTGATTTTGATTTTGGGGTCAAATTTGACTCCAAAGTTAAAATCAACTTGGGAGGTGCAATTGAAGGGGGTGGGGGGTCTCGGGTCGGAGCGTGGTGGGGGGTTTACGTAGGAACCGTTAATTTTACGAACGGGGCACCGGAGCACCCTCGGGTCATCCCAGGAACCAAGGTGTTGTTGAATATAGATGAGATTATCGTATGATGTTCTGTTGAGCTTGGTACTAGATACTCTCCCCCTACCTATCAAACATCTCCCATTCAATAACAAAATTGGGAGATATTTTTAAGAATTTAGCTTCTGTTTATGGTTGTAATTATTTTACCCGCATTTTTTTTACTGTTGATTTACTTGTAGTTATTTGTCGATTTCTACTTTTTTTCTATTACCGTTTTTACGTAGAATCTTAATTTACTGAAATAGATATATGGTAGTTCTTTCAATTTTTGTAAAGATTACCTATAAATTAATCATTCTCAAATATCCTATTAATAATCTTTCATCATCCATTGAGGGGAATATGATAAAGTTAGAATGGAGAGAATTTAATCTTATTTGATTTTAATAAAGAAATAATAAAAATAATTTGAAGAAAACGTATTTGCACTCTATCAGTCCCAAAGAAAATCATTTTATTTTTTCAGCTCTAATCTTTTATTTACACATTTGGAAGGAATATATATTATTCACAATATTTTTGTTATCTAAATAAATTATAATTATACATATTTTCATCGGGTTATGCTGAATCTACCCCTCATTTGGCTAAATCCATCATATTCAATGATAAATGAATAATTTTGTCCTCACTTCTTTTCTTTCTTCCTTAAGTTGTTAAGAATAAACTTTTCTTTTTTGGAAAAATTATTCAAAATAATCTCAACTTGGTCTTTCAAAAATAATTTCACCTTTCTAATGATGGGTTAACAGAAATGCATGTTTTACGCAATAAAATGAAAGTTGAGATTATTTTTTATGAATTTTTGTTTTTGAATTTTTTTAAAATTTTCATTTAAATTTTTAAAATTACTTTCTATGTCAATTCCTTTTTCTTTTTTTAAAGATTATTCTTACCTTAGAAAAAATATATAAAAATAGATATAAAAAATAATGAAAATGAGAAAAGTAACTAAAACAATACAAAATTAATGAAATAAATAGTGTAATCAATAGAAATTAAACCGAAACTTCTAACAAATAAAATAAATATACACGGAGTGGTGGTTTTAACATTTTACGTACTATATTCAAAGTCTTCATGTACTACTTAATTTTTAAAAGAACATATGCTGTTAAAGTTGGAATTCTTGTAGATATTTTTTTTATAAAAAATAAGAAGTGATGCATTAATACTTTGTACAATGCGTAAATTATTAAAACCTACCACTCTGTATACTTTTATTTTATTTTTTACCACTTTCAAGTTATTCTATTAATTACCTTATTTATTTTATTGATTTTGTATCGTTTTAGTTACCTTTCTCATTTTCGTTACTCCGTATTTTTTATACCTATTACGGAGTCTTTTAATTTTTTTACAGTAAGACTAATATTTAAAAAAGAAAAAGAAATGATGGAGATAATAAGTAATTTTAAAAATTTAAATGAAAATTTCAAAAAATTAAAAAAATGAAAATTCATCAAAAATAACCTCAGCTTTCATTTTGTTGCGCAAAACAGACCGTTCCCGTTAACCCGCCGTTAGCAACTTAACTGCGATCCAAAACTCCCAAAATTAAGTAAAGTTGGGATTATTGTGTATGATGTGGTTATTTTTGAAAGACCAATTAAAGTTGAGATTATTTTAGATAATTTTTCCTTCTTTTTTATATAAATGGGATGGATCATTCAAATGAGGGGTGAATTTAGCAATAGCAAATTTCATTTTTATACATTTTCTTAATATTTGTGGTGTCAAATGGAAAAATAATCATTTATCATACCGACCATTTTGAAAACTTTGAGTAAATGAAATACGGAGTAGAAGGGCAAAAAGGGCATGACGAACTAGCCGTTGCCTTCTATAATTATTTTTCCCCTTTTTATACTCTGTAGTTGCTTTAATTTGAATCTGCCTATAAATTTCATACTTTTATCATCAGAAACCCCAAACCCGAATTTTCTCGGCCGATAATCCCCTCTGAATCTCTGCCGGAAGAGACAATTTCATCTCTGTTTCTACTCCGATTCATTGCCGGAAGGGGGCAACGAGTTCAGATTATCAAGAACTTGGAGCTATGGCGGCGGCGAATGCAAACCCCAACACTCTCACGGCGGTGCCGTCGCCTAAGAAGCCGGCAAACCCAGCGAAGACCGTCGATACTCATTCCGTTATCAAAAGGTCAATCCTCTCCCCCTTAATCGTCTTGAATCAGATCTAATTAGTTCGGATTTATGTTTCCGGTTCTCTTACTTGAATCGAATTTCAGGATGGGTATGAATGATAATCTCGAGTTTCTTCTATGAGCTCTGTGTTAATGTTTAATTCCATGAATCCCTAACTTTTCTAAATGATTATTCTTTTCATCTCTGTAATTTGTGTGTAATAATGGTGGAATTATCGGTTTGTATAGATATTTTTGGGGGGAAAACATTTCCAAATGATTGATGAGACAATTATTTGGAATGATTCAAAATTGAGTTACATAATCTTGACGAATAAGGATCGAGATCTATACTTAATACGTGCTAGGGTTGTATACTACACATTTAGATTTTTTCACGACCTAATCTGTGTACCTCCATTTGAGTGGATATGAACATTTCTTCCCTTTAGATCTGAATGAAGTTACTTTGTCTATCAACAGGTTGCAATCTGAACTGATGTCCCTAATGGTGAGCACCACATCTTGAATCTTTGATCTGTATTCCCTGTGTGTGTAGAGTTGGCATTTTGGTACGGTTTGACCTAACCGAAGCACATGTAATTCGGAGTTGAATCAGTAAAGATTTATTCCAAATCGCAACCCAAACTGAACCAAACTAGTACTTGTTTTATTCCAGAAATTTTCCCCAAACATCCAAGAACCTAAAGAACAAAACTTTACCCGAAATGCCAAGCTCTGTATGTGTGTGTGTTTGGGTTACTTAAACTGACTTAGGACTTGACTATACTCTTACAGATGAGTGGTGACAGTGGAATATCAGCATTCCCTGAAGAAGACAACATATTGTGCTGGAAGGGGACGATTGCGGGTAGCAAAGATACGGTTTTTGAAGGAACCGAATACAAGCTTTCTTTGGCCTTTCCGAATGAGTATCCATTCAAGCCCCCAACTGTGAAATTTGAGACGGCTTGTTTTCATCCGAATGTGGATGTTCATGGGAACATATGTTTGGACATTCTTCAGGTTCCAACTCATCTTCTTTGTTTCATGCCATTCCACATTCTTTACGATGGCGGATGCAGTGTTGTTACAAAAATGGAATTTTTATACAGGACAAATGGTCTTCTGCATATGATGTTAGGACAATACTACTTTCAATCCAGAGTTTGCTTGGAGGTAAATTTTTCACACTTGTTCATACTTTCCTAATGAAATCAATCATTATCGCCCATATATGCTTTTTCAAATAGTAGATCTGTATTGTAGTTTGTGGAAACAATAATGGCTTAACCTGAGTTTTTTTTCCCAAATTCCTTGCATTTTTTTTATTTTGAACATATGACTCAGAACCAAACATAAGCTCTCCTCTAAACTCTCAAGCAGCAGCACTATGGGGCAATCAAGAAGGTACTAATAGAGAATCATTTGGCTTTTATTGTTTACAATCAATCTATGGAGAACACAGTCTGGGTTTTGCATGTATTTATCATTTTCTGAGCAGTTGGAGTCTTGGTTCTTCTGCAGAGTACAGAAAGATGGTGGAGAAGCTATACAAGACAACAATGGAGATCTCAAAATCTTAAGCCCCTGTTTGGAGAAGATTTTCATGATAATCTTTCTTGGTATCAATGATTAGGGCAGGATAAATCATGGCTGCCCATTGCTTGCTTGGACAACTATGGTTTACAATAAATCACTTTCAAACTGTGTAGCATAAACTACCATTGTTTTCTTCTTCCAATCAGATTAAACTTTTGTGGTTTTTGTATTTTATATGGTGCCTAAAATTGGGCAAACATTGGGCTTGAGATATTATTGTGGATCATAATTGAGATTTAGTCATTTGTTGATCTTCATTCTTTTTACACAGAATGTATTGTGGATCATAATTGAAATTTAGCCTAAAGCGCATTTAGAGCTTGTTCGCTTCAAGTTATTTTTTTACTTACGGATTACTTTGGTATTATTTGTTCTTATTAGAATTAATGTGAAATCAGAAATAACTTTATTTATAACTTTATTATTTGTATCATATCAAAATCAACCAGGTAAGTGAACAAGCCCTTAATGCATTTTATAATAAAAAAGGTTTCATATGTCTACTTCCCTTGGTCTCTAGCTTTGTCCATGTGTGTTACTTTCCCATATCCAAAAATAGTGCTCTAGCTCCAATGAGTCATTCTTTAAGAAAAATGTTCAATTAGTCCTTTCGTATTTTGAATTTTTCTAATGATGCAAATTAAATTTGAAAACACAAAAAGTGGCTATTCTTGTTATCGTTTGGTAACATTCTCAAAACGTTAAAACTAAACATTGTCATTGATGCCAGATGAGCACATTTATCAAACGAATCGAGCTCCATAAAAGGAACTCAACTGAACTTCTAGTGAGGTCAAGATGCAAATGCTCTGCCACCCTATAATTTTCTTCTAATATGAGATAGACAAAAGTTTATATAAAATATATTTTACAAAGTATGCAGTTATAATTTGCATAGAGGGAAGAAATAATAAAAACCAATGGCGGGAGGAGAGGAAGGACGTCTAACAGGGATTTACAAGGGATACCCGATAAAATATGAAATGACTTGAGTGCAATTACACTCCCAAGAATTCAATCCTGCCTCTGCCACTGGACAACACGGTCTTTTCTTAAAAAGAAAGCAGAAGAAAATTTTAATACCTAAACGAAAATAGTAATATTATTATAATATGGGAAAGAGGAAATATAAAAAACAATATTCAGTTATTAAGAAAACTCCATTAAAACTAACCTTGAAACATAAATTAGGGAGTATGTTTTTAACAAGGTACAAGAGGATAGAGAAACTAAAGTATTCCAACACTAAGAACCTTTGACAAAACAATTGCAAAACAGCAGAAGTGTGTTAAGCTCATGCCTCTCTTCATAGGTTTTCTCACTTGGAAGATGTCAACTGTCTTATATTGTACTTGGCAAATTCCTTGTATTTCTCAACCACCCCAATCAAGCAAACCGTCTGCAAGATAAGACGAACCATAAGAGACTTTTGTCGGCATTTGGATTGCAATAAGCTCATAGACTGACACTAGCAACTAGACCCAATTTAACTTCAAAGANGGGGAGGGAAAATCTCAAGTGTGGATAGCATGGTTGGGTCAACTGTGAGTGGATGGGTGGGTCTACTTTGATATAAATATATTGCGTATAAAGAAACCCCTCAAATGAATAAACCAGTTTACCTTCACAATTTGAACAACAATGTGCAAATCTGGGTTGGTGAGATCAACTTTGTGAGGCTGAGGGACAGATTTGGCAACTGTGTCAATAATTTTTGATCTGTTGATTCCAGAATTAGCACGGGCTTCGTAAAGCACTGCAAACTGTTAATAAAAATTCATTTTAGGCACTCATTATAGAGTTAGTGTGCAGAACTGCACATGTCCATTTTAAATATCGTGTTAATAAGACATAACACTAATCAAACACAAACTTCTGTAAACTCAATTTTCTGTTAGCAGAATGAGAAGAACACTCCATTTGGTAGTAATAAATGCCCGTAATAACCTTCACATGCAAATCACCAAATATATGGAAAAAGCAGCATTTGACTTAAATCATTTTTCTTTTAGAAATTTACCCATGACCCCAACCAAACAGACCCTTAGTAGCTTCAATCAACCATTTCACCTAATAAACCCTCACCAAACGTCCCCAATATTCATTCCATGGGCAAAAACTCAAAAAGTTCTCTGAAATAAAATATTTAGTGTAAAATATGAGGACTACCTTAAGTGGATTCTGAGTTTCAGATGGGAAGTATTTTTCAATGAGAGGTTTGATGGCTTTCTTGATTTCCTCATCTGATGTGTAACATGCAGCTTCAATCGGCAGTAGTCTCAACATGAACCTTTTCAAAACCACATCAATTTTTTGCATTAAGCAATATGGGTCAAAGTACTAGACCAACATTTGAATTAAGCTTTAATGTAATGTAATGTCATCAAATATAGTGCAAATCTACATTACCCGTATGTTTGATCACATTACATTAGAAATTACCAAAAAATCCCTAACTTCTGCTTTAATATCCAGATTGAGAAAGTAACCTTGAAACATGCTTTTTTGTTGAGGCAAGAGAGGATACCATATGGTGGACAATTTCCCTTGGACTTGGATCTCCATCTCTAACTCGCATTTGGACAAATACAACACCATTGCAACCCGAATCTAGGTAGCTAAAACGTCTCTGTTTGCAAGTTAATAGAATTCCATGTAAAACTGAGAAAATAAAATTTTCAACACGAAGTAGCATTGCTGATGGATCTAAAAGTGTCATTTTTAACTTCAACATCGGGTAAATAATGGACTAAAACAAAATGGCATGCTAAACTCTCATTGCTTCTTGCATTCTATGAAGTTTTGGGCAACAAATGCATCGAAGGTCTAACGCGGACAACCTGCCTGTTTTTACAGGGGTAAGATTGTCTGCATCTTGATCTTCCAAACCCCAAGAGAGTTTGGATTATATTAGGTCGTAGCATACTAAAAGTCCTACAATAATGTCATAAGATATTAAAATCTCTAAAAATATATTCAATTTGATTACCTTATGATTACCTATGAGTTCATTAAGTTAAAAAACTCAAACATCCACGGTTGCAGAAATGGATTGGCCTCCAACAAATGCCTGGTGCCTAGGGGCTAGGACACTTAGTGCCCTTAAATTAACTAATTTTAAAGGACAACACATACATAATTTCTATGAGCTTTAAAAAAACAAAATAGTGCTCACCAATAAAATGCTGGTTGAAGTTGACTATGACCACCTAAGGTGCATCTACAAATCGAATGCCTAAGGGCCACCAAGGGAGGCTACACCACATTTGAGATCACTTATTCTAAAGGGATTACATGCTTTTTAAATGAAGAAAAGTACATTTTCTTAAAAAGTTAAAAACTAAAACGAGGAATTAGGCAAGAAAATGTTAATCTTAATTTTAGGTAGAAGGAAAAGTTTTTCAGCCTTGGCTGGCAGCGTGGCACACAAAAGAAGGAGAATACTTTTAAATGTACACTTACACCCTTCTAATAAAAACTGTTCAACTAAAGCACCTACAAAGGTAAGAGGAAAAGTTTTTTGGGACATGTATAGTCTTTTCTTATACTTATGTCATGACCTAAATGAGAAAGACCTTGGTTGTCAAAAAACGACAAAAAAATGAAATGATCTGTAAGAAAAGCAATTATGCAATAAGTTATAAGAAACATGATCTCAGTATACCCAATGCCAAAAAGAGACCGATTATTCTTAAGGCCAATTTTTGTAGTCTTGAATGCATCATAATATAGTCAACTAGTCGTGCATGACATGACATTGATGAGCAATAAAATCTCAAGCAACAACTACATTTTCAGGTATAAGTAATTGTTACTCAACCAGTTTGTTGTGTTCAGTAGCAGTTTTGTTTACCTTGCTCTTATCTGCCAACTCAGCCAGCTCAGCTTCAATTCGTCGGTCAACAGATTGTTCCACTTTATTGGAAGCAGAGGTAGAAGACGATTCTGCTTTTACGGTTTCCACACATTGTTTCTTTGCAGGTGGCTCCTCAACTTCATCTGTTTCATTTTCATGACTTTCTGTTTGCTCCCCATTTTCAATTCCCTCAACTTTTTCTTGTTGGTCTTCACTCTTTTGGGTGTTATTGTTTGCATCCTTTTGATCTTGTCCATTTTCTTTGCCTTCATTTCCTTCTTCATCTTCCTCATCACTACTAGAGGAATCAGAATATGTGAACACAGTTTTCTTATTCAATAACTGCTTTGGAGCATTCTTATCTTCATCTTTTGATTTTGTCCCAGGCTGCAGCTCTTCATAAAACTAGAATATTTATAAGGAAGCCAGAAATCAGCTAAACAACATGAACCACAAAAAATTTCAAGCTTTTGTTATTAAGGCACCGCCTAGAGCTGGCAAACACATCAGGTCGATTCAGGTAAGTTACGGCTCAAAATTGAGAAATGTGTGGTCATCACTCATTTTCCTTGGGTTCAGGTCGATCCAACAGTTTATTAAAGTTTATTTTTAGATTACTTAAATTAATGCTAGCACTTGCATTAAAAATTAATAAAAATATCAAAATATTTATATTAATTTATAACTCCATATAATATTTTTCTTGAATTTTTGATATATATAACAATATTATACTCTATGTAATAACAAAATTGAAATTTATGCAATTATTGAAAAAAGTAAGATAAGAATACAAGATTTTTAAAAACTTGTTTGAAAAGATAAGTTTAAACACTAAACAAGAGCAATTAGAAAAATAATAATATTATAACATTATTTTTATCCCATTATATTTTGTACTAAAGTACATGATTTTGAAAAAAAATCTTACCTTAGCAGGCCAGGCTCAGTTGGATTTGACCCATTTTTGGCAAGTCATTCTGGGTTCAGTCCTCTTTGGGTTTAGTCAACAAAATCTTCGTTCAAAACGTAACATTTTTGGGTCACGTCTCGGGTAAAAAATAGGTGGGATCATTTCGCTGCTGACTAGCCTAGTTTTTGACTTCTTCAATTGGGCTTTTAGCCAGAGATTAGCTTAAATGTTTTGAATTTCTATCAATCCCCAACTCCTATTAACTATCAACAACTTCAAAATCAAAGCATTGTACTAGTCTGCATTGTCTTAATAAACAAAAGAAGCAAATAGAGCAAGCAGGCAAAATTGATACAAATCAAAATGCCTAACCCTAAGAGAGAGAGAGAGGGTGAAAAAAGAAATCAAAGTAATCTGAACGAAATTGCCCAAACCAAACTATTCAATTGGGATTCCTGATTAATAGAAAACCTAGAAAACAAAAGAGGAACTGAAACTGAAATTTGACCACATACAGAATCAAGAACATCAAGAGCTTCATGAGAGGCTTCCCGTTCCTTCCCACCGTCGCAAGTGATGTAAAATCCTTGAACTCCTGGCCGCAACGGATAAGATCCCTTCTTAACTGGCTTCTGTTTCATTGAAGAAATAAAATACACACACAGTTACACACACACACACACACAATAATATTTGTATGCATCGATAGATACATAGATACACACAGAGAAAGAATTACGTTGTGGGGAAGATAGCGTTGCCTGTTCTTCTTGTTCGCCTTCGAGTTGTTCTCAGACGCCATTGATGAAAGCTCGAGGACAAAAAAAGGAAGAAGTGCCGGATTTCGGTTTTAATCGCCGGTTCAGCAGAACATGGGAATAATATTGGGCCATTGGGTTCCGGCCCACAGTGGACACGGTTCTCCTTCCGAACCCATAAGGGATTAGGCAGTTCTAGAATTGGAAATGGAACCGCCTAGAACCTCTAAGCTAAGCTGGAAATATGTTTGAAGCCCCGGGTCTTCAAATTTTCTGTCTCTGCCACATCAGTTTTAATTTACACCCAAAATTCACTGGAAATGAGTTTGAAGCCCCGGGGTTTCAAACTGGGGCTTCAAACCTTCATTTTTTACATTTTTAAATATACATCTTCTAAAATTAAATTAATAAAATATAATTAATTTATTATTTAATTATATTGAAACACGAATAATAAAAAAATACATTCATTAAATAAAAAAATACATTCATTACAGAGCCGGACCCTCCCGAACCCGAGGCAATGAATTTTGCCTTCTTTCTTCCGATTGGCCGTGGAATGGGGTCCTCATCATCGGAATCCGCAACGTTGAAGGGAGGGATTTGATCGGTCGAATCGATAGTCTCGTCGACCTCAACCTCGGCGTCGACGGAGGATCTTTTCCGGAACGATCCGCCGTCGGAATTGTTGAGTTGTTGCCACTTCGGGGAACGGCTCAAAATCCTCCAAAGATCGATGGGCACCTTTCCTTGGTGCCCGTCGTCTTGATACCGGGCCGTGGCAAGCCGGAGAACATCGGCGTCATTCATCCCGCTCCTCTGGGACCGGGAGCATTCCTCGTAAACTCCGATAAACTTTCGGACTTTACGGTTGATGTAGCTCCATTTGGAAGTGAGTTGATCCCGAGTTCGGTAGGAGCCGTCCTTGTTCATCGCCGTGAAGAACTTCTCCTCGATACGATCCCACATCGCATCCTTCGTTTGCTCCGAACCTTTAAAAATGTATAACACAATTTTTTTTAGACATGATTAAATATAATATATATAAATAAAAGCATAAATATATTAGAAAAAATAAGTTTTTTTCCAATGATAGGATGCTCGGAGACGTCAACCCAAGCCGACGCCAATAAGCACTCCTCCTCCGGCGTCCACTTTTGGATTGACCGTGCTGCCTCGGTCATCGTGCCTTTGGCTTTGTGGCTTTTTCGGCGTGTACTTTTTTTTGACCCGGTCGGTTCCGGTTGAGTCTCCGGAACCGAATCTCGCTCGACGTACCCCGATTGTTGCGTCTCGTAGATCGGCGGTCGATCGCCCCACTCTTGGTACAACCACATCGCGGCGTCGCTCGGCAGGAGATCGTCGGGAAAGAAGCCGGAGCCGGAAGGATTCATGTTGAAAAGAGAGTGGGTGATTTCGAAATTATGGGAAGAAGAAGATTGAAGAAGAGTGAAGAAGGAAGGTGTGAGAGATTGGAAGGGGGGTTTGAATTTATAAGGAAATTTTTTTTGGGGTCCAACGGCTATTATAGCTGTTAAAGGGGGAGGGGAAGAGAATGACGAAGCGTCATTCCTTTGACGCAGGCCGTTTCACGCTCGGGTAACGCCGCCGGGGGCAGTGTTTAATGCCCCCGGGGCGTGAAAACAACCCTAACGCCGGGTGGCGTTATGGGTATACCCAGTGCTCTAAGAGAGGTTCAGGTTTCAGTTCTCAATTATAAGTACTGGAACCGGAACTGTCCAAAACTAATATGGATTTTTTTAGTTTTTATTTTGTTTTTGATGTTTATTTTTTATTTATTTGAGTTTGATCTACATCATTTACCAACGAAAAATGCTCCGTAGTATGAAGTCTAGTTGATATTCCGTAATATTCCATTCGTCCCGTATTTTTTATTTGGCATTTTACGGTCTCTAATACAATATTTTGACTATGACTATCTTTATTTTTGTATATTCATTAATTATAAAAATATGATATTACAAAATTGCATATCAAAATGAAATTATTGATATTATTTTTTTTCACAATTTAATACAGAATATATTTTTACCATCACTCATGATCAAAGTAAAAAAAGTTAACTGCAACAGTCAAAATGAGAAAAAGATATTAAACATGAAAAGATGGTTTTCCATATTTAGTTTTAATTTTATAAATAGTCCTTAATTACATATGATTTTTCATATTTAATCTCTAATTTTAGATATTACAAAAATGATTCTTAATTTTTTGAAAAATGTTCCATAACCAGTCCTTATGGACTATATATGGAAAGATATTTTGTTATATTTGGTAATTTTTCTTAAGAAATTATTTACTCTCTACGTCCTAAAATTAACTTCTCACTTTGATTTTTTTGGTCAAACTTTTTAAACATTGGCCGCTTATTACGGAAAAAATAAATTGATCTTTTATATAAATTGAGTCTCAATAGATTCATATTGTAATTCAGTTTGGAAATATTCAATTTTATAATATATAATTATATAAACAGAGATACTTATTGTCAAAATATTGCATTGGGAACCGTGAAAAGTAATGGAAAGTTAATTTTAGGACGGAGAGTATGAAATAGTTTTTATTATTGCATACTCCCTCCGCCCCTAAATGTTTACCACATTTCAAAAAACGAAGCAAAATATCAAGTTTTTTAAATTTATTTTATTTAAATACTACGGAGTAGTGTAGAAATAAATTCTGCTCTTTTGGGCAGCATTATTTAATTTGCTATTTTTCAAAAGTGGTAGACCATCTCCAATGCATAGGGTATGAAGTAGTAGTGTAAAATTAATTTTGCGCATCTAATTTTTTATAATCACTCCAACCATATCTTCTACTCTCACCGTCATTAATTTGATTTCAAATTAAGTCTACGAAGAAAAATTTCTCACTTTTTGAAATCATTTTATTTATAAATTGGTATATCAATAAAAAATAAAATTTACGTATTAAAAAAGTACGTCAGAAGTTCTACAAAACGAGAGGTGACAAGAATATTTTATTTCATCAAATACCTAATGAAATCGCGTAAATAAATAAAAGTTATCGAGATGAGAGGAAAAAATTGTATTCCCTCTGTCCTAAAACTTTCTTCCCATAGCACTATTCCAACTTCACGGGAATTTATATTTATTTATGTTTTTTCATAGCCTATATGATAAAATAAAATATTCTTGTCACCACTTGTTTTGAACTTTTAATGTAGTTTTTAAATATGTATGTTTTATTTTTTATTTCTATACCAATATTTAAATAAAATAGATTGAAAAAACTTGAGATTTTTCTTCATTTTGTGCAACGGGAAGAAAGTTTTAGAACGAAAGGAGTAATCAAAATAGAATTCATTTTTATAATTATTTATTTATTTATTTATTCATAATACTTATTCGCAATTCATACTTTATGAATTAAAAAGAATGGAGAATGTCACATGAGGAGAGCAACGATTTTTGGCTTCCAGCTATTTCATTGACATTCCTTGAATCAATCCTTGCAGCAGGCAGCAACGACAGAGGAGTCGCCAGAGGCTATTGCATCACTAGATTCATCCAATTTCAGGTTTTCGCCTTACTTCTTCATCCCAATTTCAGCAACTACTTCAATTTGATTTGGGAATTTGGAGATTTGATCTTCTTCTTCTTCTTTTTTTTTGTTTCTGAAATATGTAGAGTTATAGATGTAAATCCTTATAAAAATAAACTAGTGTTATTGAGACCTAGGGTTAAAATATTTGATACTTAGGGTTTAAAAATTTATATAAATAAATTTGGGCTATTGAGATGAAGTTTCTACTCATTTTTTTATACAAATTTTATCCACACCGTTACATAAAGAGCCTCAAATACTTATATCGCACATGGCCCCATATATGATAAGGGCCGACCCCTATCCCGACCTGACCTAACACACCTTGCATCCCCTCCAATTGCACTTTTTTTTTTACTTTGTGGTTAAATATCTAACCAAAATTACAAGTATTGCAATTAGAGGGGTGCAGGGTTTTGAATTCTATGCTACTGCAATTCCTTTCAAGATTTGTTGTTGTTTGATTGCATCTTCAATTGTAGATTTCTATATCTCTAATTTCACTTCAAATTATAGAGTTTTTAATGGTTAGCGTTTTCAAATTGTTTTTTTATTCTTGATTTTGGAGTTTCATTTGAAATGGAGTTCAATTCAAACATCAACTTCATTTGCACAGGGTTTGAGTATTTTTTTTGTTGTTGTTGTAGATATTTTGTTAATATCAGGTGTTTTGAAATTGTTGCACTATTTTTTATTTTAAGAGTTTCAAATTGAGTTAGATAAAAACTTCAATTCCTAATCATTTTACATGAACTTTGGTTACTGCATTTAGTGACTTGGTATTGGTTTATTTATGCCACTTTGAAGTTTTTCTCTCTGATTATGTAGCAGTCTACACATGTGTTTTATTCTACAAATAGGATTAAGCAGAGTATTAAACCTCTTTTTAGTCTTTTGAAAGTTGTATTGAAAGTTTGATTTCTTTATCGGTATATCTTTTATGTCCCTAGATTAATATGTATTGGTTTGGTACCCTCAAATTATTAGCAGCTTGAGCAAGATGAGGGGCCTTTATTTATACCACTTTGAGGTGCTTCACGCTGTGAATACAAAGTATATAATTTTCTTTACGGAAAAAGAAACATTGTTTATGTTGTTTTTTGTTCGAAAGATTTTACCATATGATTAAACTTAGCTTGTATTATATTGTCAGTGAAAAAAATCCAAAACATTATCTAACCCTTTAAAAGAATGCACAGAAAATATATTCTTTAGTTTCCCCTTACCGTAAGGTTTTTCAATGCTTTTCACAAGAATGTGAAGCTTTCACTTTCCACTCTTTAACTTTTTTGTAAAGTTATTTATAATTATTGTAAAAAATTTGTTTCTTTAGGGGTTTTTTATAAAATGAAGTTTGTTTTACTTCTTTTTGTGTGTGACTTATCACATTGTGGATATTTTTATTAGATGATGCTCTAAAAGTTTGATCTCTTTTTTAATATGTGTTCCTTCAAATTATTAAATGTCTGACCAAATACTCTGTTGGCATGCTTTTGTTAGTAAGTAAATTGATTAATTCTAATATTCTATAAAAAAAGGCCCTTAGATTATTAATCGGTATGAACATAATTATGGTGATATACATAAAAGGGTCGCGACTTCCTAATTATTTGATCTTAAATTCTTAATAGAGATACAATTTAAAATCAGATTCAGATATGCATCCATTTTCATCCACAACAACGCTCCCTTTGAAGCATTATTGATTTTTAATGTATTTCATGCATCAATGACATGTATGGACTCTGCTTTCTATCTTGGTTACTTGTTTTTTTGAAGAAGAAGGTCACTTGTTTTTTAGTTTTCTATAAGTTGTTATTATGAAGTTAAGTACAGAGTGTATGATTATGTGTATTGATTTCCACTTTTAATTTTGTGTCTAGACGTGAGAAATTATCTATCCGCTGCTGACACATTGCAAGCATGGAAAGGTAACATACAAACTTATTACCACTTTATTTTGCATGTTTAATCACAGTAAGGTTGTAAATTGTAATATACTCATCTACACCTCTCAGCTCTTAATAAGTTGAAATTCACCTTTATTGAACTCAATACACAACTTCAAATTCCTAAATCCACCTGTGCTAATCTTGGTACTGAAGAACCCAATTAGTTTGTTTTTGTTAACTCATTGATTATAATTCATTCCCCAGGGTAGTAAAATTGATGAGGAAAATGGATCCTTTTTATCTCTATCAATTTTTAAAATTTATTACACGTAATCATTTTATCTTATTCTTTTAATAATGAGGTGTGCATTATATTGGTTAAATATACTAGCATGTCCAAACTCATCACACACAGTGCGATCCTTGCTAGTGTGTGTATATATATGTATGTATGTATGTATGTATGTGTGTGTGTGTGTGTGTGTATATATATATATATAATGTAGACACACATACAAACACACTCACACATTATTCAACAACTGCATTTCATTTCGTAATTGCTCACCAAACAACTGTGAATATGATTTGATTTCAACTCTGTTTTCTCCAAATACTTTTCATTCAGATTTCAAAACCCATGTCATTTCTTCCAGATTTCAAAACTCATATTATATCATATTTTCAGAACTCACCAAACGGGCCCTTGTAGAATTAAATCAAAAAAATAATTATTAATCCAGTTCAAAAACCGAAACGGAGCGAAAACCGAAATTGGATCGAAAGCAAAACCTACAAAGTGTAGCTACCATATCTTTGCGTTGATTTCTTCATCATCTGAAAAGCTTGCGGAGGAGATGAAGATGCCGATGAGAACAAATATGTGTATGTTTGTATTCAATTCAAATCTCAATAATATTCTGCACCATTTTTTTAAAACATTTTTACACAGATTTTACTTGTAAGTTCTGGTAGATATGAATAACAATTTGATTCAGATTTATGAAATGCATCTTTTTCTCACTCTTCTTCAGTAAAATTACATTCTTCAATCAATCAAACACGACTCTCTCTTTTTTACACAACTAAGTTTGAACTTTACTACTCCATAGTCCCAGCGGTGGAGAGTGACTTCTTCCATGCGTGAGATGTTCATCTTCTTAAAAATGAATTGCGTTGTGATTATGAACAGAAACTTCTGAAGGGGCTAGAAAAAGAGAGGGTTTCACAAGAACAAACAGAGAGAGGAATGGATGAAGGAAAATTGAGTTCAGGGAGCAACGATCATATTGATGATATCAGATGGCTTTGCTCATTGAATGAATCTGAACTTGTTAGTCTTTCTAATCTCTATTGTCTATTTTGAATGCGTAAATTTGTAAATTTCTGTGTTGTGGTTGTTGTCGATGAAAAAAATGACTGATGCATTCTCTGCATTTTCAATTGCCTGTAGCGGGACCGACTTTGATCGATAAACCAATTTAGGGCTTGTTCTCTTCACCTGGAATAAGTTTTGATCTGAATTAAATGTAGTTATATTTAAAGTTGTTTTTTATTCGATCTAAGAATAAGTAATAAGAATAAGTTGAAGAGAACATGCTCTAAGCCCAATATATCCCGCTCGTGCTTTTATTGTTATTATTATTTAGGCACATTGCCACCAATGCTTGTATGACCAGTCAAGGTGAGGGACCCGCATGATATGGCCGGGCTAATTTGACCTAAATGTGAGGTCCACCCCACTGGAATTGCGAGCAAGGTAGGCCCTAGAGCTAGGGGACAGAGAGGCACATGAGTGTGTGACCAAGATTCACTAATCCCTATAAGTACTTGTTCATACTTGTGTTCTCCATCTCTAGAGAATGGAACATATTCTGAATATACGAAAGGTTTCATATAGCGTCGTCTCTCACCGTCTATAACTGATCTTAATCCTTAATATTCATTCATACATGACCTGCTCCCATGATATCGTGAATTAAATCCATCACCAGGATTTCTTAATGAGCTTGAAAGTGATGATTCTCCAACGTGCGAAGAACATCGGCTCCAAACCTATGGCCAAGAACTTCGGCTTGAAGTTTCTCCGTGCTCTCAGTATGTCATCTTTTTTCGTGTCTTCTTCCATCCGTCGTTTTTTTAACATAAAAAAATCCTCATTCCTGTAAATTTTCCATCTTGGGTGCAGGTTTTATTTTGATGAACAAACTTAAAGGTCAACTAGAAGGTGTGCCGGGTTTCACCGGATCCTCCTCCTCGCATTTGGATAGATGTAAATTGTTGAAGTTTGATCTCGACGACGCATTTAAAAGCTTGAGTATGGAGGAGTTGAGCACATACATTTGCAGTGAGAAGAATAAGCGAGCACTGTCCGCGTAAGTTTTACTGTTCTTCTGCAAAACTATCATCTTCAGACTTTTAATGACTTGCATGTTCATCCAAACATATGACTCTCAAATTTAAGTGTTGTTTTACGCTCCCAACCACCCAAAAAAACTCATACAACAAACCACAACAATTACAACCTAGTGACGTCATGCAAGTCATACAACTGTGCGTGATTGCTATTCATTGTTGGGGCCATGATGATCAAAACTGAACCATTGTTACAGTCTAATCCTCCCAAGCAGACTGGTCCATCAACCAGTTCATGAACCGGCCGGTCTGGTACTCCGGTCTGGTTCTTACCACTATGGTTGATTGGTTGTGCGTATCGAATTTACTGTTTCATCACGTTTTCTCCCACTACGAGGTCAAGCTGAAACCGTTGCCCACTACTTGCCGCACGCATCGTACCTCAGGAACGTGCATTGTAATATTAAGTCAAATGGAGAGAATTAAACGAGGCATTGGGAGATCGGACAGGACCCCCCCCCCGAATCCTATATGCATCATCAAGTAAAAAATATGGAACGTCACACAAGTGGGGTATGGTATGGTAGGTTTAGACAAACTTTGGCACTTTGCCCATGCATATGAACCGAGAAGGACAGTCGATACTGTTTCTGAAAGACCCTTGGCTCTAGACAATATAAGACGGTTTTAGAACAATGAAATGTGACTCGTAAAAGATAAAATGAACCATAATAGTAAAACAACCACAGAATATAGAAAGGATACATAAATCTCAATGAACACTGTATTTATGTTCTCTAATGATAATTTTTTTTGCAGGTTCTTTAAAGATGTACTTCCTCCTCCTCCTCCTCCTCCCCCAAGTAAGAAGCCGAAAACCGAAGGCTAAATGAAGCTACAATCAATCAATCAATCAATGATAATGCACCCTGATATAGTTTTCTTCACTGCTCCATTGCCACTTCTATGGCTTGATTCACCACTTCTGCTGCACTGCAGGTTTCTCTCTTCCTCCCCCCCCCCTGAGCCCTTTCTATGAGAGGACGCTCTGTACACCGACTCGTCCTTTGATCAGGACGGGTCCTTTAAAGTTTGGAGCTTTGTGCACTATTGACATTTATCTAGTACGGGGTGCGCGGATATAATTAATATTCTCTGCATTCTTTTTTTGAAGGGATTCTGTGTATTCTTTTATCTCTTTATTTATCAAAATTTTCTCTTTCCCTAATACTCTAAGGGGCTGTTTGGTAACTTCTGAATGGGTAAGTGCTGAATCAGTAAGAGGTCTGAACCATTAAGTGCTGAACCAGTAAGAGATCTGAACCATTAAGAGCTAGTATATTGTTTAACTATTCAGAGGCAAATGTCTGATCAATTCAGATAAGAGCTCTTAACCATTCAGACTCTGTATAATACTTAACCATTCAGAGGCAAATCTCTTAACCATTCAGACATCTGAACCATTAAGAGGCTGAAACAAACAGTCTGAACCATTAAGTGCTGAATCATTCAGACATCTGAACCATTAAGAGGCTGAAACAAACAG